CGCGGAAGGGTACACCTTTAACCCAAGTATTCAAGGAGATAAAACCGAACATCAGATTTCTCAAACGCTTGACGCAAAACCTTCATTCTGGTCTTTTTTCTCCACCTTTCTCCAAGTGTCTCAAATATCCCAATAAATAAGTAAACCAAACCCAAACAAGCCTCAAAAATGAGTGAGCTGTAGGTTTGTTGAGACCTTAAGTCATACCGTTGTTTCCTAGGATTTCTCTATCCATCTTTTGTCTCCTGTCCTAAGCTGTCTGTGGGCAGCTGGCTGCTGACCAGCGTGCTTGGGTGCTACGACAATAAGCTATGTTGGTAAGAATCTGCTCAAAACCGTACCTAAAAAGCCAGTCTTCAACAAATATTTAACCCTCAGCTCCGATCCTTCCATTTCGCTCCGCAGAACGGGTATTTTAAAACACAGACCGGGTCCCGCTGACGCCCCACGGGCAAAAGCCTGCCGCAGTCCCTCGCCACCGTAGCAAACGCTTCATCGCCAGTGCGCCGTGGCAGTGAAGTAACTAAAACCAGTTGGCTATCAGTGTTTCAGTATGCCATCACATGCACTTTGACAACTTCTGAGTAGGCGATACTGCATGTCCACAGTGTCTGATGGCTAAACCCGCTGTCCCTCAGTGAAACAGCCCACCTGAAGCAGCATCACTGCCTAAATCCTGGTGATTTCTGAGGGCACACTGTGTCCACAGGACAACCTATTTCTCACCTGCCGTTTCCCAGTAAGATGAACAATCTCCTCTTAATGAAGTGCAGCCTTCCAGTACCTGAAGGGGGCTACAAGGAAGCTGGGGGGGACTTTTTACAAGGGCCTGTAGTGATAGGACAAGGGGTAACGGGTTTAAATTGAAAGTGGGGAGGTTTAGATTGGCTATCAGGAAGAAATTCTTCCTGGAGAGGGTGGGGAGGCACTGGGACAGGTTGCCCAGAGAAGCTGTGGATGCCCCATCCCTGGAAGTGTCCAAGGCCAGGCTGGATGAGGCTTGGAGCAATCTGGGCTAGTGGAAGGGGTCCCTGCCCATGGCAGGGGGTTGGAACCACATGATCTTTAAGGTCCCTTCCAACCCAACCCATTCTGTGATTCTATTCTGTGATTCTAAGTACCGACTGGCCACAGGGGAGGGGAGAGTTCTGTGCAGTTATTGTTTCTATCCTGCCCTAGATGGTCACCAACTCGGAGGCCTGTGCTTCAACATGTTACACTAAACATATCTGTCACTAAAGCCTCTGCTAAGGACCTGAATAAAGACTGCTTTCAAGCCTGTAGTTTATCCGATACCCAGCCATGCCAGTGGGCCTGGGGAGAAACAAACGTCGGGACTAAAATAGGAATCGTAGTGTGATGTTCTCATTTTGTCAATCTTAATTCTTGCAGTGAAGGTCTCAGGGTCTGAAGTCTTCAAACGTGCTACAATAAAACAAGTAGAAAGAGTCCTCCCGTGCCAATGGAAGCTTAACTGTTGTGAAAACTCTCAGATGGGCTCCCAAGAGGCTTGTGTTATGCAACAAGTAGCAAAATAAGGAAATAATAACATAAAATTTTCATACTTAAAAAAAACAACCAAAACCACAGTGTCTTGCATGTAACTGGCACTTTTGTTTAGGGCTCTGTGATAAAAGATCCTGTAAAATGGCAATGTCAATCAGCTTCCTTATGGCTTGCTTTGCATCAGGAGTAGGTACTAATGTAAAATCAGAGTTTGCTCTCAGGAACACGATACACCTACCCTCAGCTGCGCTCACTTTCACAGCATTGCACAACTGACACCCACAAACACTGCTCGTGGCAATACTGTCACTATGGCTGTGTGGGCAAGGACAAAATTTGCTGAAAGCATCTAGCTAATATTTCTGTTGACCAGCCCTAAGAAGGAATAAAAAGAAATATAGTTGAGTGGATAACTGGAAAAAAGCCCCAGACAGTCTCCTCATCAGAAAGGTAAACAGGTCCAAACAACGCTAGAATGCCCAGATACTTCTCAAGAACGAAGGTGCCTTTCCTATACAGTTACGTCTTCAGAGTAAGCTGTCGCTGCGCTAGAATGCTGCACAGTTGCAATTCTTTTTCCTGGGCTAGGATCGGATTTTTCAGTCTCTCCAAAACTCTTGCTAATTCGAAATAGGATTTTTTAAGACAAAACCACATCTTGAGCAACAGGAGAAGGGGTAACGGGTTTAAATTGAAAGCGGGGAAGTTTAGATTGGACATCAGGAAGAAGTTCTTCCCGGAGAGGGTGGGGAGGCACTGGGACAGGTTGCCCAGAGAAGCTGTGGATGTCCCATCCCTGGAAGTGTCCAAGGCCAGGCTGGATGAAGCTTGGAGCAACCTGGTCTAGTGGAAGGTGTCCCTGCCCATGGCAGGGGGGTTGGAACTAGATGGTCTGTAAGGTCCCTTCCAACCCTAACCATTCTGTGATTCTATGAAAAGGTCTCCAAAATACACGTGGTACGGTATATTTTTCCCTTGGGACATTTTCGTATTTCTGTAAGACACTTTTGAAAAAAGGGTTGCATTGCTTTATCACATTCACTCTTCAAGAATTACCTGACTGGAGAATCTCTGCTGTATTCTAGATAACTCTTCGGACTTTGTTTCATTTCATAAAAGTACCATCTTCTAAACATGCTAATCCTAAGGTATACTAGTGTAATACTCTAGGAGGCTGTACTGCATTTCACAGAATTAGAGCAGCAGTGTTAGCAAAGGTCTTTCAGTCTTTTTAGAAGTGTATGTACAGTAATATCCAGCCATCGGAGACACCCAGACTGTCTGCCGTAAGAAAAAGTGTTAGTTGGTTCTCAGTAATGACCATTAGCCAAAAGTGCATCATCTTGATGATTGTGCATATAGGTGGAGAGAATTTTCTGAATTTGTTGTGAGAATTCCAAAAAGACTGAGCCAAGATGGAATATAATTTTGTTCATTTCTGTTACTTAACATTCCGATTTATTACACAAATATGTATTGCTTACCAATCTTCAAATTTCCAAAGCAAAGAACCATTGTAAGACACTTCATGAGCACTATGATCAGCATTTTTCTGCAGAACTTTCAGAAGAAGAAAAAAAGATCCCAAACCAAAAGAAGTGTAACACTCCAGCTACCCAGCTTTTAGATTTTTCACACTCCAGGCTGAGTGAACAGCAGATAACTGTGCAAGTACTTTTGCTCCCATCTGTTATTAGTATTGCTCTTCTCTTAAATATTGTGGAAAAAATACTAAAAATCCTTAATACATATCCCTGTAGATTTCCTGTAGTAAAGGGTGTAAATGTGCATCAGATTCAGTCTTCTTAATTATCTGAACAAGCTGAGCATGCTCAGTGACGAGTTGTCGGAGGTCAGCCATTTTTTGGAGCAGTTTTGGGAAGAGGAAGATGTCATCAGGATGGTTGGTTTGCAAGTGAAGTTTCAGTACATGCACAATGCTCTCCTGCATTTTTTCAATGTGTCCTACATTTACAAGACCAGGACGATCTGTTCTCAAAACAAACAAAAGAATACATGTCATAATTTTACAACCACTCCCTAAAGTAGGTGACTTAACAGATTCTATACTGTGGGCCAGTGTGTATTTGCATCTTGGGAAAAAAGCAGAGAAGGCAAAAAAAAAAGTTTGGCCAACATTTTTTCAGTTCCCACAGTTACGTGAGATTTCATACTGCTACATACAACATGTGCTGTGAAAGAAAAAACCCACACCACCCGCTCACCACAAAACACAGCAGAAATATCCAGCCTAGGAATCCAGTTCTATATTCTCTGTGTGAATTACTGAATCTATGTGAATTATGTGAAGCTGTGGATGCCCCATCCCTGGGAGTGCCCGAGACCAGGCTGGATGAGGCTTGGAGCAACCTGGTCTAGTGGAAGGTGTCCCTGCCCATGGCAGGGGGGTTGGAACTGGATGGTCTTTAAGGTCCCTTCCAATACAAACCATTCCATGATTCTATGATTCTATGAGTCTATGTCCTGATAACAGAATTCAGACTGAAAAGACAAACAAAAAAAACCATGTGGCTATTTCTAGAGAGTTCTTGAAGTTTGGTAGCCACATAGCAAGCCATAAATAACAGGCCTTCCTGGTTCCCATATGTATACTGTATACATAGAGAAGCACCTATTCAGGATGTTTCGCACTTTCTAGTATATAATCTGATTTTCAGTTACGTACAGTCCTGTAATACCTTCACTCTCCATATCAAACTTCTCTGTAAGAAGTCTGGGATGACTGGCTAAATACGCGTCTTGAGAACATAAACTAGTTCCAAGGAGAAGGACAGAGAGAAAAAACCCACAACATATTGCCTTGACTTTTGAAAACATCAGAATACTATTGTGGTGTGCAAAAGTAATTCAGGGTTTAATGGGAACTTGGGTGTTGAAAGTCTACAGGTTGTATCTCTCTTCTTGTAACTCTGAGGATGCAGGCAGGGAAGTGAAACATCCTGAGTTTGGCAGAGTGCAACACAGGCTGGGGCGGGTATAGAAGATCAACACAGTTCCAAAATGCTTATGGGTAGTTTTGAATTTAAGCTGAAATATGAGTGTCCTTACTTTTGGGAGGAAAGGTCAGACTGCATTTGTGTTCCTTCACTCACCTGAGTTCAAGCAACGTGCATTTAAAAAAACCAACCCAACCCAAACTCTATCCGTTGGTGCTATGAAATAGTTTAAAAAAAAAATCCTATCAGCTGTTTTTTAATTAGCTAACTAAGCTGGGGTTTTTTAAATAGCTTGTGATACTAAAATCACAACAGAGGAAGTGCATCAACAGAGCTGTGCATTTATGCAGAACTCATCACGTGATGCCGTCAGCAAGTGTCAAAGATGAGGAAAGCTATAACCTGCACCTGCCTCCAGTTTCATTACGTGGCATTTTTCTCCGCATCCAGCAGATACAAATATTGTTGCCAACCCAGTCTTAAACATTAAAAAAAAAATCCTGTGATGGCCAAACAAAATCCCACCCACACTCTCCACATCCCACTTTTAAAACCAGTGAGGCTGGTAGTTCCAAGCATGTCTACAATCCTGCAAAGCAAAATGCAGCATCAGGACCACTAACAGTTACAGTATCTTCCATGAAACACACTAAAAGGGAAAATGACATTGCTAGTGGTAGAACCTAATCTTCAAGACTCATACAAGTTCGTCCACTATAATTAATTCACCCGGAGAAAATTTTAGAATATACTACCTGAAAGAACAAATAGGTAGTGCTTACCTCCACAGCAAATGATGGCGGCAACAAAAAGGGATATATCGCTGTCATCCAATTCCAGTGCATTGAACTTCATGGCAAAATCAAATTTTGGCTCCATTATATCACAGAATGGCTTTCTCAGGCTTTTCAGGAACTCCCGGGTTATAAAGCCATTTCCATAGGCTACCAGCATCCCATCCTTGTTCATCACAGACGCTAACATGGCAAATATGGCTTCATAAACTCCGTATTTTAACAATGTCACTTGATCATTCAAGTCAAGATTGGAGAAGCCAGGGATAGATTTGGCAAATTCGGTAAGTTCTGTGACGGTCTCCACGGACGTACACTGACAGCAGTGGAAGATCCTAACTTCTGCTTCCTTGTTCTGAATTCCATTGGCTACCAGTTTTGCCACCAGGGTCTTCTCTGCCATACACAAGGTATCCATGTCATGTATAACAAATGGCTACAGAGAAAACAACACCAATTCAGTTACAAAATAATGGTTATTAATCATTGGTTTCCTAAAGAACAGAAATCTCAATAAACAACTTCCGTGCTAATCAGTCTTCAACTAACAGTAAACCATGAGTTCTTTCATATTTCTGCACCAAGAGAAACCAGGTATTACAGAACTGCAAACTGCAATACCTAAGAGAAGTCTGCTCTGTAAACAATGCCAGCAGCAAAATGCAAACCTGTATGGCACATCTTCACCTAGCTGTGCGTAGGAGGTAGAGCGAAGATCCGGAAGCGCTGCGCTTAGTGCGCATAAACCCAGAGCAAGTCCCAGAAGGTTCACAACAGACTTGTATCACCTCCTCCGGAAGTCCGGGATATTCTGCCTACACTCTTATCACTTCCTAAACTAACTACACTTGATGCACATCATGATGCTTTCCTGAAGTATCCTGGGGGGAATACAGACAGACATTTAAATAGAGGACAGCGTATTTGCACAAGAATAAACTCTCTACTACTCTTTGGGTTTTATTACCAGATTTTCATAGACTATGTCCCAACTGATCTTCCACGAAAGTTCAGCTCATCTTTCCAGCTACGGTTAATGCTACGCCGTCTCTAAGCCCAGAATCCCACTACAGTGTCAGACACCACTAAATGTCTGGTCTTTTCCATAAAATGGAAAATGGTCTTTTCCACAAAACATGGTCTTTTCCATAACCCCCTCCATTTAGAAAGGTACATGCATGATGAGCTGGTCTTTCATGCATCATAAAGTAAAAGCATTCAGACTAAGAACGATCAGAACTCAAAAGTAATTTGACACATATCCAAACAACAGCAATGAAAACAGAGCACAAGCCATGGAAAAAAACAAAACACAAAGCTTCCCAGCCCACAGAAGTCATGGCAATTGGTTCTGAACATAAATCTAGTTCCACAAATGCTACGCAAAGCACTTCCCCTGTGCTGTTCTGTTCATCTCAGATTAAATATCACGAGGAAGACTCAGTGTTCTGTTAGAAACTCACAGAATTCACTTATTTCACTTAGAAAACTGTCAAACGTGTTGGTTTCCCAGGGTTGTCCACTTTTTAAGTGCGTATGGCAACGGCACATTCCATCCCACATCAGAACTCGAGTTATGCAGAACTTCCTGTGTGCATGTGAATGTGAGCAGGAAGTGACAAAGCAATAATCCACATTTCTAAACCCTTTAAAAGATGTAGTCTGTCTTGTAAATCTTTTGGGAATTTCTCATCATTTCACTACACAGGAAGTAGGTACTGCCAAGGCCTTGGGAGCCGGATGTAAAAATGACACCTTGTCATAAAAAACACTAGTTCATTCTGCAGTGAGTGAGAGAGGAGCCGGGAATTAGGATTCACCGATATCTGCTGTTGATGCACCGTTCAGAAATAGGTGGATTACTGACCACCAACAACGAACCCCTCTTTTAATCTTTCTGCTTAAATGTTGAAAGCAAATGACAAGGTATGTTTTCCCCGATGATGAAACATCTCAAAACCCTCTCCTCTTCCCTGCATATTAAAAGGAGGAAGCAGCCTGTTTATAACATACTAGGTCTGATTCCTCATTGATTTTTTCTGGTAAATTCACTAAGACATGTGCTAGCCACTCTTAACTAGTCAACTATAACCTGAGAACGTTGACTGCACAAATGCAAAGACAAAACTCAGGACGCAGTGATCTAGAATGCCTGCACCTGCAATCCATACTGTAACTTGCGATTCTGACACGTGGTAACATTAGCTTGGAAAGGTCTTTACGCAGACACGTACTGGGTAAGGTGTTAAAGCTGGGTATTTACTGTGGGCTTATGTCAGCTTGTACCCCCAGAGAAGTTTAAGCCTGTGCTTAATTTTAAGCATCTCCTTAATCCAGTGAAAAAGACGGGGATTATTTGTATGTCTGTCTTTTAATGTAGAGGCTGGTATGCTTGGCTGGACTAGACTACAATACACCAAATTCCGTAATTTAGAAGACAGCTTGCTCACAATTTTTATCGGACTCATCCCCACGGTTACATGCGTTTTATTATGGTATATGTAAAACCACTTTCCTGCAAATTTTTACTGAAATTAAGTATCTTACCTTACCAACAGTTTTATCTTCCACATAGAATTAACATAAGTCACAACAGAATTGAAAAAATACGCTTAAAGGGAAACAAGTCGGTCCTTACAATGGTTATGCTAGCTCACGTGCTACACACCAAAAAGCAGTTGATAGCATCAGGTAGACGTGGCTAAATTATCCTGAAAGAAAAATAACCTCAACAGCACTTGTGTTTTCACAACCTCCCTTGCTTCTCGCTTTCAAAGTAACCATACAGTAAAGACCCGGAAGGCTGGGTGAAGAAATGGCCAGAACTGTAAACGAAGAATCACAAACTCCAGTTTTCTTTCCCCTCCTGCCATTAATATTTTGGTTTAATGACAAGTCACACTGAGCTCCTGTACACCCTAAAAGATAGCAGCATCTATCCTGGCATTTGTGTCAAAACAACCTGATTTTTTTTTCCCCACCTTCATAATAGGAAATTAATTTTGAACCATATCCCCCACCCATACTAAGATGATTACCCATACAGATGTCTCATTTTTGATTCAGAATTAATATTCTTTCCCTTGTGCCTCCACTATAAGATAAGGCTATGAGCTTCTGTTTACAAGTTAACTACCCCATTTTCCCAAAGCCTCCTATTATTCTCATAGTGGCTAAATCAACCATATTTACTAAAGGTATTCTTTTTGCATATTTCTTGTCTGTATTACCAGGACATTTATTTTCTAAAAGACTTGCTTAAGTTGAATTTAACAAATTGATTATAATCACCTTATGTATTTGCCAGCTTTACTTAAAATTTACAGGAAAAGTACTTACGGGATTGTTATTAGTTTTCCCTGCAAGGATGATTCTGGCTTTAACCTTGTTCATATTGAAGTTTTTCAGGTAAGCATCGTGAATTCTTTTGGCAAGTGATTTAAGATCTGCCATTCCTGAATCTTCAACATAATTTTCACCTGTTAGTATTTCTGCTTTCAACTTGGCCTTCTCAGACCTTGGCATTCGTCCAAAACGTATTGCTAGTGGGAAGACAATTGTAAAACAAATACAAGTTATACAAACACCTATGCCTTGCTGAGTAGAGCAGTAAGACTTGCTGTCTAGAAAAAACGAGGTAGAGGTAGTATCTTTATTATGATACGTTAATGAGTGAAAAAAATCTCATCCTTACCAACACAGTCCGTGACTAACTCTCAAGTCAATATGCCAAACTGCAGGTAATGGGACATTTCAAAACACAAAATGGTACCTGCAATGAGCTAGAACACATGCTTTTTCCTTCTACGTTACCTCAGGAGTTGTATTTTGTTCTCTCCTTGTTATGTTCTGCAGCTCCCAACAAGAAACTCCACCTTGGGATTTCTAAAAATATGAGTAAGCTCGTATCAGGAGCTTGACAGAGAGCCTACATGCCAGCTGGAGAGCTGCCTGGTCTGCAAGGAACGCTGCGGAGCTGCGCCCAAATCCCACTGCTGATTCTGAACCTGCCTGGACATTCCACTCCTTACATGCCGGATGTTCAGTTCAACATATCTGTCCTGTCCAGTGAGAACAGAACAGAGACCCCGAGCTGCGCTCACAGGCTGTCGGCAACAAAACCTTTTTTTCAACAGACTAGCCCTCCAAGACTGGGGAGGATGAGAATGGAGTTTGAGTATCCAATCTAGTCATTAGGATCTTCTCTTGAGAGGCTGGAGATGCAAATTTGAAACACCACTGGGTACAGAGGTCTCCCAGTTCCTGGGCAAGTGGTCTTGCCATTTAGCAAAAAAACAGGCACGTCCACATCCTTCTTCCACTTCAGACTGAAATGAGGAAAGCTCCCTTTTAGAAGGGGCCTTACCCTCCGATGGTGTGCACGGTTTTGAGACGGCCAATACGGTCACTAGTACCGAATTGCACCATCTGACCAGGGAGAGGACAGAACGTCACTGCCTAGACTAAGCAATTCAGAGCACGTGCAGAACTAGCCCTTCCACGTGCCCAAAGAATTTTCTCATGACATAAGGAGGTGACTCTAGGCATGATTTGAAATACAGTTTTGGACTTCAATAGAATCTGGCTGTGGGTCTGTGAGAAAAATGGAAGGTTATCTGCTCTAAACTGAAACTTACAGTTTTAGGGTCATGGCTGGAGACCTAGTACT